TCAGATGCCTGCCAGCCCCACTGTGTCCGCAATGCTGAAGCAGCAGAAAACAAGATCAGAGTGAGCTGCTCGTGCCCCTGGTGGCATATAATAGCAGCAAATCTTTCTGTAGAGAAGATTGGAGGCTGCAAAACTCCTCAGAAAGTGGATGATAAAGATTTGAACTTGAAACGAGCACTAAAGCTGAGAACTATTGGAAAATAATCTCAAAGCCCTAATGAGAACAACTTCCTTAGAAAAGAGGGTTTGGGGTAAAATAATATGGAAAGAAGCTAAAATGTCTGGTCTTATGTAGAAGAAGTGTCACCCATAAGGGTACAGAAAACACATTTTTTGCAAAGATTTTTTATTTATTTATTTGACACACACACACAGAGAGAGTACACAAGTAGGCAGAGCAGCAGGCAGAGGGAGAGGGAGAAGCAGGCTCCCCCACTATGCAGAGGACCCCCCTCCATGCAGGGCTCGATCCCAGGACCCTGGGATCATGACCCGAGCTGAATGAAGACAGACGCCTAACCAACTGAGCTACCCAGGTGCCCCCCAAACACATTATTTTTTCTGAGCTCTAATGGAAAAGGGTTCTCACCATGTATTGAAACAAGGGGGTATAAGAAATTGATATCAGATTTCACTGTGTATCTCGTACAGATAATGAATACTTAGCAGCCCTCCCCATGCTGTCTCCAGTCTCAACTCAGACTTCATTTCTTTCACCTGGACAGGGTGTAGTAACTGTGCCATGTGATGCAACTTAAGACAGGGCACTTACATGCACACATTTCCATCCAAGAGGGAAAAACAAGACCCTATACCACTATGAAACTGGGCTGTACATGCAACACAATTGCTAAGGGTTGAGAACCAGGATTCATTTCTGACTTCTCCCAACTAGGCTGCTGGTCCCTGTAGCTCAATGACAACGCTTAACGATAATTTTATTCATCTCCACTTTCTGAGTGAAGAGCCTTTTCAAGTCTAACCCGTTCTACTTTTCAGGGCCCATGCTTCTTTAGGAACCATGGCTGGATCATATCACCTTTGATTCAAAACGCTTCAGAAGTCCCTGGGGGCCTGTTAATGCTGCCTGGCTGTTGAGGTCCTGCCAACCAGGCCCACCGTGAACCTCGAAGTACTCCTCCTGTCATGTTCCTCTATCTAGCTACTTCCCACTTCAACCAACCTGAATGGGAATGTCCAGGGGTTCCTGGGTTTCTTTCTTTTGTTTTCATGCGTTTCTCTCGGTTGGGGTTGTGACTCCCTCACCTCATGTCTGCATGCCCAAATTCCATCTAACCAGAATGGCCCGGGCCAAAAGCCTCATAAAACCACAGCCAGGAGCCATCTACTCCTTCTCTAAGATCTTGTTTTTACATGTATTTTTCATATGAGGCCTGTGACTAATTTCCTATATTTTTAGTCATTTGTACACTGGTATAATTTATTCTGAAAACTTATAAACTTCATAAAGGCAGGGGCTCCAGAGACTGGCACGAAGTATGGAAATTAGTGAATACACAGTAAAAGGTGGTTGAATAAAAAAAAAATGCATAAATCACTCTTGTTCTCTTTTATACTCATAGAGAGGTATGCAGGATAATTAGAGATAACTTCATCTATATATCTATATGACTATTTAATAATTTTCTTTTTCTCTCTCTTTTTTTTAAAAAGATTTTACTTATTTTTTTGTCAGAGAGAGAGAGCACAAGCAGGGGGAGTGGCAGGCAGAGGGAGAAGCAGGCTCTCCGCCAAGCAAGGAGCCTGATGCAGGACTCGATCTCAGGACCCTGGGATCATGACCTGAGCCAAAGGCAGACGCTTAACCGACTGAGCCACCCAGGCGTCCGTATAATAATTTTAGATATAAATTCTTTCAACATTAAGAATTTAAAAAAAGAAAGCCCAGAAATATTGGTGATATGGCATTACCTTCTAGACTCACACACTCACGGAGGAAAGTGTGCACACTAGGGTAGTTACCAAAAGATGTCATAGCTGGAAGGAGGGTTGTGATATTACATGTTGATATATAACGTAGTTTCTATGGAGATAAAAGAACTATATTTGCATTCTTTTTTTAGGAGTCTTTAATGTAATGTTTTAAAATATAAGTTCCTCATAATATTAATCTTTTGATACAGTCTGTGAAGAAAAGATATCGTGCTCGACTAAGTTTGAGAAACTGCAAATTATGCCACCCGTTTAGAAACTCACAATCTAAAGTGCTATATTAAAGGTTTCCAGAAATCAGAATCTTTACAAAGATTGCTTAACCTTCATTAACCTTGTTTCCCAACCATTATTATCCTTGGAACAGTCTTTTTCGGATAACAACTATCTGTATCCCAAGGAAAGGGTCTACCACAGAAAATATTTTAGAAACTACTCTTCTAAGGTATTACTTGGGAACAAAACCCAGGCTATTTGTTTTAACTCTGCCCTTGGGGTGAGATATTTATAATGCTTTCTTTCTGGACTGTAACTGATCAAGTCACCTGCGATGACAAGTGCCAGGTACTTGTAAGGTAAGGGGTGGGCCCGCAGTGAACAGTGCGGACCTGTGTGCACAGAATACAGGTAGCAGACCATGGGGGCTGTTGGCCAGAGTGGAAAGGGAGACTGAAAGTGCATTTATTAGACCTCAAAGCCATTTCTGCTGCAATGTTCTTCCTTCCCTGATGGTTTTTGCTTTGTACTTCGGATCTCTCTTATAAAGCTGCTCTGGCTCATGTGTATCCTACTTATTTTTGTTATGATGATTTATAACTTTATTTTAAATCCTCCAACCATACTTATAATTAATTACATAATTCCCCTTCCATAATGTTACATAACATGCTCTCCTATCCCACCCCACATCCTGTGAAACTATATTAAAACAATAAAATAATTATGGCTGAAATTCATTGGCATCCTGGTTAGAACATTTAGTTCCAACTATCGCAGAATAACTAAGTGTATGATAAAACTTTCAAAAATAAGTCTAAGTGCTTTAAATTTATTTGTACTCATTTGGAATGGTGCCACGTAATTAGGATATAATCAAGTATGCAATAAAAGTTTGCTGAATAAATGAATGCATAAGTCACTCTTGTTCTCATTTACGCTCACATAGAGGATCAGTAGGGATGACTGTATCTATATATCTATATAGTTACTTATATATGTATTCATGTCTGTCTATATAAGCTTATGTACTGAATAATATGTAATTACAAAATGTGATTGTGATAAAATTATTAGCCAACATGAAAAAAACGGAGTGTTCTGATGATAAATTAAATCCTGGAAATTCTTCACTTTGATAAAGCCATCTCTCTACGCAGCCATCTCAAATATTCTAATGTAAAAGACAGCATAATGTAAGATCTGGAATAAATAATGTTGGGTATCAATATTTAGTGAAAGTAGACAAGGCTCAGCCTGAAACAGTATCCAAATTGCTTTATGCAGGAAAAGTCAAATGTCTAAGTGGGAAAGAGTATGGCACGTTTGCAGGATGGGGGCCAAAGACAGAGAAGGCCTGTCTTTTCCATAACCGTGATTAATATTTCAGATAAAGAGGGCTGAGTCATGCTAGAAATCATTAAAGAAAAGATAAAAATTTCTCAGAATTCTGTGAAAAGAAGATAAACATTCAGACTCATATTTGGATCCCTGCGTTTGGGATCACTGCCAACATGAGAGAACTAAATGGAGGCTATATTTCTAAAGTGATCTCTATTGGTCAGCCCCCTCCTTCCATTAGGGGAAGGTATTAATTAGGCAAACACATTGCTTCTTCTCAGAACAGCTATTGGTTTAATAGCTACTCAGCCTGTTGGTTTAATGGCTCAATAAAAAAAAAAAAAGGAACATTCTCTTTTTATAACATCTTTTTCATGGGTAGGGCTTATTTACAATGAAGAATTCAGGAGACTGAGATTTGGGACAATGGGACAGATGTCTCAAGGAATGAAGCTAATGAGAGCATGTGTAAAAGTTCCCTTTTAAAGGAAAAAGAAAATGAGAGTATAAACTTAAGAAATGGTAATCCTAGGTAGAGTTTTTAACTAGTAGCTTCATGCTATTTCCAACTAAGCAACACGAAAATGGAAAGATCTAATATGGGGGAATGTGATAATAGGAAGAACAGTGGAAATTATCAAGATATACTCTCCAAATCCCTCTCATTGGTAATAATGGTTTTTAGACAGAGAGTATAAAAGAGAAAACTATTAGTCATTGGTACTGTGATAGCAAAGGGGAAGCTGTGGTGTTATAGTCCCCCATTAAATACCTCTCAGAATGGCCAAAGCTAATATTTGGAGTTCTGTTATTATTTTTCAAAGGTTGTCATAAAACAATCTTACCTGCAGAATCTACAGGGGATTAGATAAACATTTTAGGATTAAACAGGATCAGCTTCTTCTAAATGTTTCTTTTCTTCCCCAATGTTCTAAGTCTTTGTGACTAAATTGTTGTTATATTTTACCTTCCTTTCAGTTGCCAGGATAAATGTTAGCACCTTTGAGTTATTGACCCAAAACTAGTGGCACTTTATTTACATTGTATGACCCAATATATTCGATAGAATTAGATCATGCCCTTCCAATTTCCCTCTAAAAGAAATCTTGTTTTTCAGGTAGATGGTGGAATTTCAAAGAAGACAGAACAGAGTTTGGTGCAGGGCTGCTATTATAAGTCACTCAGGTTTTCCGACTTTCTGAGCTACATGTATTCAATACCCCTAGAACTAAAATCAAGATATAAATTTCAAAAATGTGGAGTCAATGAATATTGGAAATGGAAGCCATCTTATTCCCAGGACCCCTGTAGTATTAGGACAAGAAACTACAGTTGGTTAATTGTTTGCCTACCACCTCTCCCAACCTGATGCCAGATTTACAAATATCTGGACCATCTTTACTGGGCATTACTCATGAAATAGTGTTCAAAGGGGATAACAGTGACACATAAGCAAACACATATTGGAAGAGAGTGAACCAAACTGGTGGTAAAAACATGACCTTCCTCCATAAGGTCAAATAGTTTTATTTTGATTAAACACTACAATACAGTATATATCCATTAAAAAAGAAAACTCTATAGTGTATATAAATTATTCCTTCCATTCATCAATTCTTTTCTTTTCCATTACAGCTTTGGTACAATGTGATTTCAGTATATCATTTTTAAATACTTTTAGCATCACAAACTCAACACAAAGTACAAAACTAATAATCCAAATTAGGGATATTATAATCTACACAGTGGTATTCAGTGGTAGGAGAAAATCTTACCTTGATGAATTCATGTCACTAGCTAAGCTATAAAGGCATACCTAGCAGACATGACGAAAATATGCACCATTAACCAGCTAATGTTTGTGTTAGTCTTTGTTTTTTGTTTTGTTTTGTTTTTTGTTTGTTTTTTTACAGAATACCAGCAGCAATCATCTGAGTGTTGAGTGAATACTTGAGTCCTCAGCCAGTCTCCCACCTCGCTCCTCTTCCCTTAAAGGCCATGAGTAAGGTCGCAAAAATGCAGCACAGCCAGAGCACTCAGAATTTGATCTGCCACCCGGTGTTGCTCATAGTTGCACAGTTTGTCCTGCAGCTAGCCGACATCACGGGGACAGTGCTGGAGGGGCAGTGTGGACCGATCAGCCTAAGGTTGTTCTGAGGGGTCGGCGGTGTGACATTACAGTAAACGGGCATTCCAGTGGCTGGGAGTGACCCTTGACCTGCCTGGTTAGGTAGCATGATTGGCTGTTGGTATGACTGCTGGGGCAGTCCTTGAGAACCCTGGGTCATTGGCACCTGTAGAAGACACAAGAGAGAGCCCTTCATGAAGAGGTTGAGTTTGCCTGTCCCGTGAGCTACCATGCGGTCAGGAAAAATACTCAAGCATTTGGGTAACACCTAACTGGTCACCCATCCCAGCGCTACCTTTTATCAGCTGTTTTACCTTGGGCAAGTCCCTCAACCTCTCTGATTGCCTCGGCCATCTGCATAATGACACCCATGCAAAGTGCCACTGAAAAGATTGTAAGGCTGATGTACGGTGCTGGGATATGTGTGGTGATGGCTCAGAAGGAGTTAGCTCAAAACTTCCTTCTTTCCTCCCTCCTTACCCGCTGGGGGCTGCAGTTTGGATTACTTGCTCGGAATTTCTGTTTGGAAAGCGACACTCCCATTCTGGTTTCATGCACACAAAGTGGCCTGGAGCCAGACAGCAAAAGGGGCTTTTGTCCCAGGCACCTGCCTCACTCTCAACCTGCAGCTTTAAAGAACATCTAATATGGAGCCAGAGGTTAAACTGAGACAATGTGAGTCAGGATTGTCAGAGGAGGAGGACGGAGGATAGGGTTTTTATTTTGTTTTGTTTTGTCTGTTTCTTTGTTTGAGGGCCAGAAGTAGCTGGTGCAGCTAAATTTAATGGTCAAAGCATTTCACTAACCCTTCACTTCCACTTTCAGGGTATCTCAGGATGTAAATCACAAAAGGATGCATGACATTTTTAAAATACCCAGTATGGGTTGAGTCTAGAAAATGAGGTTGGTATAGACCTTATCCATGCCTTTTGAAAATCTGAGATGCCATTTGAACACCTCTTTTAACTTAAAATTGTGGTAAAATGAAATTTGGGGGGCTGTGTACAAAAATGAGTGGAAATTTGTCATGAGGGCTTTTTCCCAATAAGCCAAATTACAATGGAACAGCCAAAGGTCTTCATGACTAAAACGTTATAGGCTGCAGACTTTTCTTCCATGAATAGAAGTTTATATAGAACCACATTTAGCAGGACATTCAAAAGCCACAGTAGTTAGGGAAGCATACCCATCCCATTTTCTACTTATAATCTTAATTCAAAGTCAACAATCAACAGGGGCTAGGCATAGCATCCCCACCCTGCTAACCACCCAACACGGGACATACCCATAGCCTCTACTTTGGCCAGTGCTACTTTCTAAACCACAATTTTCCAAGCTGCTGATGTGCACCTGATAAGAAGACATTGTTGGGTAGGAGACCATCACGCTTTGCACCGGAGCTCCTGGTTGGTTGCTCATCACGCTCTGACTCTGGGGTGCCTGCTGCACTCCTATGAGGCCTTGGAACCCCTGTTGGCCAGACAAGACTGGCTGGTAACCTGCAAAGAAAAAACACCTTTTGAACTGGTTGCCCCAGGAAGAGCACAAGCAATATCTCATGGGGTACAAGCACTTGTTCACAAGGCAGCCTTCAGACATCTCGATCTCCCTGTTGGCAATGTGTTACCCAAATGCTTATTTCCCCAAAATGTGGTTTTTTGCTCTAAGAGTGGACAAGAGTAGGAAGCCAAAAAATTCGCTGATATTTGCATCTCATGCAGAACGGTCCAATGAGCACGTTGTGACAACTGTAGATTTTTTTTACGGCACAAACATGGTAACCTCTATTGGCATTTGATAGCTATAAATTACACTTTTCATGATTTGTTGTTTGCTTTGTTTCAAGGATATTTGGAGTATTCACAAAATTATTTTTTTTTTCTAATTAAATTGACTCATTCTCTTACTATCTCACCTTTCTGCACAAACTCGTTTCACCCAGAGATCATCAAACTGCCTAATAACTTTCTATTTTCCACGTTTTAGTGAATAAAATGATTCACTACCCTTACTAATTCAATGTCCATTGCCTTAGACAAAAGGCAGCAACAAGAGAAAAATATGGCATGCTTTTATTCTGTTTCAACACTAGCTCCCAGGAGAACATTCTGGTAAAGCACTCTAATAAATGACCATGTACATACAATAGATAATACAGAATACAGCACTTAAAAAATTTTTATACATTGTGTCCTTCTGAGTGGGTCAGTTGCTTTGGTTTCTTTTTTTTTTTTTTAAGTGGATCATAATTTATTTGTTGCAATTATTTTAATCCCCACCACAAGTGGTTTAAAATGCATTCTTAAAGGAAGTGCACTAGTCTTATAAATTCTGGGAAGAAGGTAATGATTTAGGTGAAAATGATGTAGTGGTAGAAAAATGAAACAGATTGACTTCATGATATAAAAGAAGTCCTTCCAGAGCTCATATTACTAACCATACTGACTACTTGAGAGAAAGTAGAACTGCTGTGTTAATACAATTCTCTGAGAGAAAATCTTTAAAATCCTAGATTTTTAAAAAAGATTTTATTTATTTATTTGAGCAAGAGAGAGAGAGCACGATCCCAGGACTGTGGGATCATGACCTGAGCCAAAAGCAGACGCTTAGCTGACTAAGCCACCCAGGCACCCCTAAAATCCTAGGGTTTTTTTTTTTTTAACACAAACACTGAAATATGTTTTACAACCAGATTTTGAAAATTTAAAAAAAGGGTAAAAAAATTCCTATTCAATACGCATCCTTTTTTTTTTTTTTTAAGATTTTTATTTATTTGAGAGAGAGAGAATGTGAGCAGGAGGGAAAGGACGAGAGAGAGAGAATCTGAAGCAGACTCTGCACTGAGCATAGAGCCCAACACAGGGCTCAATCTCACCATGGCGAGATCATGACCTGACTGGAAACCAAGAGTCAGATGCTTAACTGACTGAGCCACCCAGGTGCCCCTCAATTCTTAATAAATAACCTGTGTTTTGAGTGCATGTGACAGTTTTAACTTTATATCAAGGACAGGTAAAATTATATTATAATCTTTGCAGAGGAAAATATCTTGCTATCCTTTGGCATACATAAAATTACATATACTCATCTTAGAAATATCGTGGAGAAAATGGCTTTCAAAGAGTCACTGAGTTAGGAGATCAGCTCCGTTGGCCAAACTAGATAGAAATATAGTGCAGTCTGTATGGAACACCTAAGAGAGGAGGCCTGGGGAAAAGCCAAGCTGGGAGGCCTGACCTGTGCCTGCCACTGGGTTGGGCAAGTGTGGAATTTAGAAAATCACCCTTTGATCTTCTTTACATATTCCATTGTTTTGTGTTCACATTAGTCACCCTACTTCAGTTCCATAGTGGTTTTAACTTATAGAGTTATTTTAACTTCTTGTGAGGATACCACATATTAAGAATATAATTAAGAATAATGACCATCTCCCCTCCATCTACTTTGTGTCCATGGTACACAGTCAAAGCCTTCCCTGGACATGCTCTGTAGGCCCATGTAAGACTAAGAGCATCAACTCAGGGGGCTGCATACTTAGAAGGTTTGCAGGTTATACAATAAGGAAAACCCACCAGACAGGAACAAGAAATCGGGACAAAGGCCATGTCATGGTCCTCACTATCTCCCTGAATGCCTCGTATACAGAGGCACTTGGGAGAAAATTATTTTACATTGCAGACATACCTTGTTTTATTGAGCTTTGCTTTTGCTTTAATGTGCTTTGCAGATACTGCATTTTTTACAAAGTGAAGGTTTGCCGCAATCCTGCTTCAAACGAGTTTATCAGCACCATTTTTCCAAGGGCATTTGCTCACTTCGTCTCTGTGTCACATTTTGAAATTCTCACAGCATTTCAAATGCTTTTATTATTTTGTTTGTTATGGTGATCTGTGATCTCTGTTTATAAGTCACGGAAAGCTCAGATGATGGCTAACATATTTTAGCTATATATATATATTATATATGTATAACATATATAATATATATATATATGTATTTTTTTAAGTAGGCTCCATGCCCTCCATGGAGCCCAACATGGGCCTCGTCTCACGACCCTGATATTGAGACCCGAGCTGAGATCAAGAGTCAGATGCTCAACCGACTGAGCCATCCAGGCACCCCGTCAATAAGTATTTTTTAATTAATGTACACACATTGCATTATTAGACATGATTCTATGCTATACTTAATAGACTACAGTATAGTGTAAACATATATGCACTGGAAACCCAAAAAATTCATTTGACTCGCTTTATCCCGATATTCACTTCATTGCGGTGGTCTGGAAGTGAACCCACAGCATCGCCAAGGAATGCTTGTCATTGCAAACAATTGTTTTCTATTATTTCCATTATCTAGAGATTCCACTCTAATTCATGTATCTATTGGTCCTGAAAAATTCTGTTGCTATTTTACTTTTACTACGACATTATTCCTAGCCATATCAAACTCATGCTAGCAAGAACTGTTACACATGCAAGAAAACAACTTGGTACAAATGTAAACAATTCATCACCAACAGTCTTCCTCACCATCTAATTCCACAGCAAAGAATAGGCAATGTGTGAACACACTTTGTAGTCTACGTAATGGTAAATATAATAGAGCCTTATTTCTGGCTGAAGATTCAAAGCACAGGTTGAAAAAGTGAGGAATGTCTTTTAAAATTCTCACTTATATCTGGTCACAGAGTGAAAGCCCTGTTGGTCTCAATGGACCTTTTGCAGGACACATGTAACTAAGATGGAAACAGAAAGGGGGGAGGCATGGAGGCGAGGGGGAGCAGGGAGAGGTGCAGTGGCCTTGCTTCTAGAGATTATTTATGTATTTGCTTACTGAATCCTTCCAGCCTCCCACAGAGTCTTCTTCAAAATGTTCAAAACTAAACTGAGGTGGCCTTTGAGAGATTCATTTATTGCACCAGCTCTAAACCAAAATTGGGGTGAAGGGATATAAGTCTTATGATAATAGAGCTGTTTAGACATACAGAAACAGAATGTCTTGATAGGACGAGGAAGGACACGTCAAATAATATTCAAGGAGAGAAAAAGCCTAAGGAGGCTGTGTGGCCTCATACCAGGACAGGCACAGACCTGAGGGTGAGATGCATCTTTGCTGAGAGGACTGATGCAGTGCACTGCAGTGACTCCCTCCCCAGGCCTCCTCTGCCTCATGACCTGTGAATGTAAATACTCAGTAACAGCAGCTCTGCACTGGGGTTCCTGTGGTAACCACACTTAGGGCACATAAAGATTTCTGCGGGAGCGGAAAATGCTCTACAATTGCAAAATGAAAACTTACGTGTAAAGAAAGCCCAATTTATATTCATGAATCCCATTCATTTCTCAATTCGCTCCCCAGGCAAGAGATTTACACCTGGAATGGTTTCATTGGAGGTGCCCGTTTCTTTAAATTACGGAAGATAGCAGAATGGTCCTTAAGACAGAAGGCTTTTTGGAATGTGAATCTGAGACCTGGTCCAGAAAGAGACCAATAGAAATGTGCTAGCAGTGACCTGAGAATGAACTAACAGTGTCTGCCCAGGACACAACACACCCGAAGGCAGAGACGGCAGAGCTGGTGGCAACCTGCTTATCTCCTCTATTCAAATGACAAATGTGCTCCAGTTTGTCAATTCTGAGCTGTGAAATGATCGGTTTTCCATATTTATTGAGGATTAGCAAGATAGAATGCATCTTACAAAACAGAAACAGCAACACTATCTGCCCTGTAGGCTTGCTATGGAAATCATAAAGACATTAGCTATTTTTATTTCTTTTTCAGTCAAGATTAATTCAATTTTTGAGTCACATGCATCATTTGTTTTCTGAAGGTAAAAAGGTTAGGAATAGACAAATGTCTCCTCGCAAATAAAAGAATGCACTCTGCTAAGATTGAGGGATTATACGATTTAAAATGTCTGGATCTGATCAATCTGAAAATTTAATACTGTTTCTACTAAAATACAACAGTTATCGAACACTCTTTGTAGTTTGAGGATTATTCATTAATATTCTGTCAAGGAAACATTTCTCTTGATATACCACAATTATGAAAAAACAGAATGTAAATTGATTAGGGAATATAAATTGGCATTATTGTGACTGACCTTATTTTAGCCAGTATTTGAATACTTTGTTACAGATCCAACCTTTTGAAATGAATGAAATGACAAAGTAGCAAACTGTATTTTCGGTTGTCTCAGCTACTGTTGGTTACAGAGGTGAAGATGGGGAAATGAGTAGTTAAGAGAGCAAATATCTCTAGAACAAATTAATGAGAAGCTAGCCAGTTCTTCCTGTCTCCCCCAACCCACCCAAGTAGTGTAATTTACATGTTGTGTTAATTAAGTAAAATAGTCTTAATGTGCCGGGATGTAATTTCAAATATTAAAATTAATTTTAATTGATTTGTCAATACAAAAATTGTTTATCTTGGCTGAACCAAGATACAAATATTTGTCTAAGTTCCTAGGGAACATGCTAGCTGTCTATGAATC